AGAGAGAGAGAGAGAGAGAGAGAGAGAGAGAGAGAGAGAGAGAGAGAGGCAAACAGAGAAGGGAAAGTTGGGGAGATGAGGCGGTGTGAAAGGGCAAGAATGGTGAGCCGCAGGAAGGCATAGAATGAGACGAAAAAAGGATAACAAAGAAGACGGCAATCCCTCTCCAGTCAGGACTCTCGCAAATCGCCATGCTTGTTCATTGAACATAAGTTTTTTCCTCATCTCAATCATTCACATACACACAGAGCATATCGACTTTCCCCAATCTAAGATGACCAGCTGTAGCTCCGGATACCTTAAACCACCACTACCTCTGTGCCTCTTTTTGCCTTGGCGGAATCCCCCTGCATACCAAGCTTTGCATTTTTTTTCCATTTTCTTTGGCTAGCGCGGCCAGCCATCGGGGTCTATTGGCGAGCCTCTGAAGAACCTGGAATGCTACATTTTCGATTCTAACATTGCCTGGGAAAGGTAGTATATGGTTTAAGGTCCTTGGCAAGGTTGCATAGCTGCCGACTGCCGACCGTTTTACAGCCGACCAGTCAGACAACAGTCATCCCGTGATTGTTTCAAATTCGAGTTCAGGGCTGTACTGCGCTTGCTGAGTACAGCCCAAATCCACTGAGAAACTTTTGGGAAAGGGCCGGGGGGGTATTGAAAGGGGTATAGGGGGGGGTATAGGGAGTTATAGAGTTGGTATAGGCGGTATTGGCAGGGGTATGAGGGTGTTGGGGGGCAGTTTGGGGGTTTTCAGGGGGTGTATGGGGTATAGGGGGCGGGTATGGGGGTGTTGGTGGGGTCATTGCAGGTTCTGGACCCTTTTTTCATGGCTACGATCCAGACGTCCGGACCCCCATCCAGACGGTCCAGATCCAGACCTGAATCCAGATGTTCGGTCTGAAACGTCCGGATCATAAGAAAATCGGCCAAAAAAAATAAATCAGAGGGTTCGCCAGGGCCCTTCCTCACATTGGTGCCGCCCCCAAATTTTGGTCCTGGGGTTTGTGAGGCCCGTTTCATTTTTTCTTGGGTTCCAGACACGTGTGTTCTCCAGAGACCGAACTTTTTCTTTTTTTCTAACGTCTTCGTGTTTTCATTGTTCAGTCCTTTTGACGCGTGAAGAGGCCGTTGTTTTGGCGGCCTCGTTGGGGTGGGGGCAAGTGGGAGGGGCTGAATGCGTTTCGAAAGTCACGTCGTCGGTGCCCCATCCTCACTTCGACCCGCATGTGTTCGAGCTCCGAAGGAGCAGCCTGCCATCACAGCCCATTGCCATGCTGAAGCTCGCGACAGCACACACACAGAGAGAGAG